AACGCATTATGAAACCAAAAAAAAAAGATTTTTTCAAAAAATTTCAAGAATACTTTTTCAAATTCTTTTTGATGAAATTATCCCAATTTGAAAAAACTGGATCAAAAACTAATTTTCTTATTCCACTGAGAAATCTAATATTTGAAAACTGCTTTCAAAACTAAACTAATTCAAGTTTCGTCGCGCCATTTGAACCTCGTTATTGAAGACCATAGTTTTCCTTTCTTTCAGCAAAAAAATTGAATTGAACATAAAAAGACAAAAAAAATCATCCTCGAAAAATCAAACTAGAGTATGATCAAATTCTAAAATTTTCCTGAATTCAGAACAAAAACAACCACATAACCTGATTACTGTCTTCACTTCGTTCATTTAAACTTAACAAGCGCTGCTTCTGTAAATAACAAAAAAAAACAATTATACTTTCCTTAAAAACACAGCGGCTAAGCTGAGCTATGCGCCACTTGCAATAAAAAAAATCAATCTAAATGTACTGCTTATATAAAGTCAACTAGTGCTTTATATGTAGTGAATTCAAGACCCAAACCGGAAACTAAACTGACAGAGTATACGTCGACAACCAGAGAGCAGAAAATTTGGAATACAGCACAAACATAGCACAAACTAGCAGAGAGAAACTGAGACGAAAACCGCTAAGTTAAAAACATGAAAAAAATGTGATAGTGTCGAGACCAGCTAAAACTACCAACATTTTCATATCGTTGTAAGAACATCTAGAGTAAAAATCATTTTTAAGAAAATAAAATGCCAAATAAGTCAACTGAACAATAAATTCGCATTGAAACAAAAACTGTGTAGGGATAACAACCCAACAACACTAACTGCGAAAACGCGAATAGCTTGCATAACAATTCCGTGCTTAGTAATCAATAAAGCGAAAATTTTGATAAACTTTATTTGTAAAGTTACTGTTAACAAACTTTTCAAAAAATGCAACATAAACTCGCAAGAAACTGATAAATCATTTTTTTTTAATTATTGGCATTCAGAAAATAAGAAGAAAGATGAATCTTCAAAAAAAGTCAGTTGAAAGGGAACTCAGCGGGAAAAAAATAAAGAACATTTCTGGTTTGAAAAAACAAGTTCCGGCTGAATTCGAACTTCAAGCTTTTGTCGTCTCAAGCATATGTAAAACCTCTACACCACATGCGCTGGATATTTGATATAATTCTAATTTCTAACAAACGACTAAAAAGCCAAAAAATGACTAAAATAAAAATTTCTAAAAAAATTTTTTGAAAAATTTGATACATTTTCATGTTTAATTTTCTTATTGTATTACAAAAAGCTTAGAAGAGTAATTTCACTTTTTAAACCATTTGAATAAAACCGAAAAAAAACGAAACAACCAATAGAACAAAAACATTTGGAAAATAAGCCCACATAATTAAAACCAAACAACCTCAAGGCCGAAAATCTACCAAAATCTGATAAATTAAAGAGGCAACTTTTAACATAAACACAAAGCCAATACAGTAACCATGCTTCTAATTTATTATTCAGCGAATCTGTAGTTATCTGCAGCACATATGTTGTTATTAGAGCATTTTAAGACTTTCTGAAAAAAATCACCAAGACCTATTTAAGATTCTTCACTGCGTTCATTACTTTAAATTAAAATTTATTATTTTGTCCTCTTTCCTTAAAATAAAACGCTGAGAGGATTATGAAAAAATCACAGCGACAAATTGAAAAGTCTGCAAAAAAGTTGGAGCCAGTTTTCATTCGAAATTGGATTTGCAGTTTTCTATCGCGGCTCGAATCACGACTGAAACCGCTTCAGTATGATATAACACATAACAGTGTAGTGCAGTTCACTACGTTTTGCTGTAGAACCTGAATTAAATAGATAAAAAAACACTCGAACCCAAGAACAGAGAAACAAGAAGATTAGTGGCAAATGATAAATTGACCTACAAGTGCTTTATACAAGAAATATTACTCTTAAAATAATTAAATTTCGGAATATATGTAGATTAATAAGAGTCTTAAAGCCTCCTGTCCAATACATGCGAGTTTTATTTTCATATCACGAACTGCTCGGATGGAATGAAATATTTTCTATCGAGCTTTCGTTCACGTTCGTGTTAGCTGAATTGTTTTCTTCGTAAATTGACAAGTTTTCAAAATGCGACTTTCTCCTCCGACTTAGCAAAACAGGCTGAGCTGTTCTGACTCGTTTAGTACTTTGGATGTCTCTGGCAACTTGTGAACTTGACGTTGCTAACGTGTAATTCGAGACTCGGGGACTGGGTCTTTTGTTCACGCAGTAGGTTCGGTTTGTGAGGCCGGGCAGCTCCGTGTTGTTGCGAGGACTACTGAAGGCTGATGCGTCCGAAAACTCGTCACTTATAACAGGTACGCAAATTGTTGCCTAGAGTCAAATAATGCTTGGAGTCAAGGATTGGTGACCATTTTATGAAGCTCTCTGACCAATTTTTCGTCTATTAATCTCAATCGCCGGTTTTCACCTCTCAAATTTCAATCGCTTAAGAACCTTTGAGATATTTTTTGTGATTCATGCAGGGGCAGATCTAGAATTTTCTCGAGAGGGGGCGGATTTTCAAAAAAATTTCAAAAACCCCGACTAAATTTTCCGAGTTTTGTCGACTAAATTGGGCTCTTTTCCAGTTTCCCACCCCCCTCGTAAAACTTCAAAATAAATATGATCAAAAATTGTTCACACGGCATTTTGCATGTAAGAAATGTTGTGAAAATTTGTTCTCTTGTTCACACTGACAAGTTTTAATGCAGTTTATTAACACGAAAAGTCATTTTAAATAAGTTTTCATGTATTAAATTTCCGAAAAAATCAAAGGGGGGAAACTGGAAAAGAGTCCTAAATTGGTTTTCCGAGCTCTGCCAAAGCACGAAAAAGACCCTGTTTTGTCCAAATTTTGTGCGCCGCTGGCAGAATTTTGAAAACAAATGCCAAAAAATGCGTCTTGAGACACTTTTTTCGGAAAATTTTAACCAAAAACGCTTGTTTTTTTTCGGCGCGCGCTCCCCCCTCAAAATTAGTATATTTTGGCGCCTTAAGAAACATTTCAGGGCCAGTCAGCCAAAAATGGATACCTCAAAATAGTACAAAGAAGGGACCCCTTCAAACCCCCTCCCTAAATCCGCCCCTGGGATTCATGTATCTAGAAGCTATATAAAGCGATATCAAAATATCCCCTCCACCTTTCAAAATTTCTAGTTATCTGCTCACAAAAGTTGGTTAGTTCACTATACCAAATTTTATTGCATTATGACAATTTAATTGCACAATGAAAATTGAAATTGAAAGGTGGAAGAATGCGGAAAAGAGCCAACATCTTCAAACGTAAGTGAACTTTCACTTTATGCCAGTATAGCGTGCCTGTTGACGGGAGAAAGTGACTCGGAAGATGATGACAAGACCTGGAGCTCCTCGAAGAATGTGGTCTCACTCGAACTGCTCTTGTCCCCCTCTTCCGTCTCCTCACTCTCCATGTGTAGTTTCCCTCTTTCATTCCGCTTGGGCAGTTTTATTATGGCTTCACTTTGTTCAGCCTCTATATAGATTCTTCATTTCCCCTATCCATTTTTTAAAATTATAAGTTCGAATAGCAGGTCATCAAAGGTTTAGAGTTCAATTAAAAGTTCAATGCTTGGGGTAAATGTTAATTCAAGAGTATTTGTAGGTTTTCCTAATTAAGAGCTCAAATGGCTAGATTCTACAAAATTTAGTGATAACGAAACCTTGTCATATAGATTTTGATCAAGTTTTAAATGAATCTTGAAGGATAGCAGCAAAGCGGAGATTATTGAGCAGTCATTGCATCTATCATTTGGCCTTTTTTCAAAAACAGTTTTGAAAAAAATTTTTGTCGATCATTAAATTTACCATGATACTAAATTCTCAATTCCGAATATAATAGTTCAAACACTCATAAGCTTTTAAAACATTTTCAAGACAAAATGAGTTTAGGAATTGGGTAGAAAAAGAACCCAGTATACTTAATTTTCTCTCTGGTTCACGAGTTAATATTTTTCAAACTCGGATAATATTTACAACACAACAGTGAAAAATGCCTCTTTTAGAATTTTTGACGGCTGGGGAAAAGAAAACCTGTGTTAATATGGTAAATGCTTGAGCTTTCATCAACTTTAGGCTGTGGTTCTGTGATGTTGTAAAATTCAGTCGCATTCGGAGTTTCACTTCTGTCATGCGTACTTTCTGTGCATTGCTGTGATTCTATGATGGCTTTTCGGCGTTGTTCCGAGTTGTTCGTACAACAACTGTTTTATTAGGCTCTTTTCTCATGCCATAAAGAAACTTCGTTCAAGTTGGCTAAAATAAGTCTTTGCGCGCAGCACAAAAACAAATGTTTTAGTAGGGAAAGGAAGGGCGCTCTGGTTCTAGATAATTGATCCTCAATTCCTTAGAGACCCGCCCAGCACTCTAATGCTAACGATCTCCAAGAGAATTAAGAAAATTACTCGAAATCAAACGGCCAAAAAAACAATGAAATTGCTACAATCATCAAACTAATTTTTTCTCCAAACAAAATACAAAAAGCGAATAGTTTTTGTTTTAAGAAAAGAACCTTTTATCATCCACGTCCGCATCTGAAGATTCCATTGTATCTTCATGACAACGCAATTCGTGGGATCCTACAGGTCGCATAGAGATCCACCGCGTCACCCTTTCATGATGAGTCACCCAAGTGATTTCTATTTCCTCGTGAACAAACTCTTCGCTAATTTCACTGTCGTCATCCTGCAAATCAGTTTCAATGATTTCTGATTCCCGACCTGTAGTTCCAACTTGGTAACCCTCATTTAAGCTTCGAGTCGTATCCCCGATAACCGAGAAAGACTCTGAGTCACAATTCGACAATCTACCCGACGAAAGTTGTCGATTCTCCGATAGAACTTCGAAGTTATCGGCGAAACCCTCTTCGGATCCCAGAACTACGAAGTCGTTATCAAGTGTTGATTCGGCTGAATGACACCCCGAGGTGACGATGGTCGATTCAGAACGCACACTGTCATGAGATTCATTTTCGTCGCAGTTATCAAAACTCGGAATTTGGAACTCCTGATTTGCGGTTTCAGCATTGACAGAAAAACTAGACGCAGCTTCAATTACTGACCGTAGACTCTGAAATATCTGAGTGAAAGATGGCCTTCCATATATGGCAATATTCGGGTACTGAGGGAAAAGCTTTCCTAATAAGGAAATAAGTTCTTGGTCGGTCTGAACAAACCCAATATCGCGATTCACAAACAAGTTGGTAACGTTTTCCAGAATCAACCAGTGGTAGCATCTGGATCTCAGTGTCAAATCGAGAACAATTTCCCTGACATGTCTTAAGACTCGAGGAATTGAGTCGAAGGTCTTTTGACACACAATGCAACATGCCTGCGAGAACCTCAGTTATCAAATTCAATGCAAAACATTGGAGCAAAAATATTCAGGGGCTCACCAATCTTTCACCAAATAAAAAAGTGAACTTTCACGTTTTACATCTTACAATAACAACTATAAGTTCTAAATGTTGAATGAAGAGCACATGATTTTGCAATTGGACGATTGGCACCGATAAAAACCATCTCAACGTGGCGAATCTGAGCTGCGCATTACTTGCGATAAAAATGAATGGCAAACTGAGAAAAATATTGCCAAGAAAATATTTCAAGTAAACGGAGACTTTTCGGAGATGACTGATCTGATTTAACCATCTATAAATTTGTATATAAATTTGATAAGCACAAAAAATGATGCTCTGTATGGACTTGTAAAAAATAAAGGAATAGATGACATTTGCGAGTTGTCGCTTTCCTAAAGTTTTTGCAGTTGCCTTTTGTTGCGAGTTAACAGGGCAGCATTTTCCGCAAAAAAAAAACTGATCTGTAATTTTTTGCCTCCATTTTCCTCAGCCAATACCATTAACTAGTTGAAAATTTTTCATTGCAAGGAAAAGAACAAATATGTTTTCGTTTTCATTGTAACAAAAGGAGCAGGCTGTATCAAACTACTGTCGTTTTTTCTGCGCGGTGTGATAGAAAGATCTGACAAAAATATAGAACTAAGGCCTATTCAACATTCATAGCAACAGGCAAAAAATCATTGAGAAAATCAAATAATTTTCAGAAAATTGATTTTTTGAATTTTTGAAGTTTTCTGATACCCAAATGGCGCTAAAAAACTGATTTAACTGGAGTAAAAATAAATTTTCAGGGCTTAAAAGTTTTACGGCTTATCCTTTTTTGTATAATAGGCCTGCTCGATTGCTCTATTCGATCGAAATTTGATTGAAAATCAAAAACTTACAACCGGTTTTTCTCGATACTGCGACAATTTTTGAAAATTTTCTAATGTCGTTCAATCCAGGACTAAAAGGGCTTTAATATGATATATCACTCGTTCCACTCCGATGAATTTTCGTGGTTCCTGATTTTGCGTGGAAAACCAAAATAAAATTAAGAAAAACTAAAACACCCCCGAATATATATTTCCTCGCCATTTTCAATGGTCGGAACAATGACAAAATTGCTCAAAAAAAACTTTATCACGTCACAAAACTTTTTTCAGCATACACATATTAATTGAAACGACAAAGGCCATCGCAAGAGCCAGAAAAGAAAATACGCAACACCTTGTAAGCTAACAAAATTTTATAAAATACCCTCATTTTAAAGACGTTTACATGACTCTTCAAACATATATGGAATGTATGACAAAATGTTGAAATTTAAAAATCTGCTGAAATTAATGCAAAAAAAATCAGCAAAAAAAATTAATATTTTGTTGTTTTTTATCAAGGTTAAATAGATGATAGGCAGATAATAATATGTTTTTTTATTTAAAATAAAGAGCCATTTATATGTTGTTAAAAGCAGGAAAAGGTCCTTTGGATGCCGTTCTAACAATATAGACTCAATTTATTCCACTCTTTAAGAATTTTTAGTCTAAATAGCATAAAATCTAATTGTTATCGACACGGACAACTCTTTCGATTCTGTTTAAAATCTAAACTTCATTCCTTATATAATTTTTTGAGGTCATCAAAACTGGCTGAAACAAAAACACCCGTCCTGTGCCATAGTTTGTTCAAATCACTTCGTGAAGTAGCGAAGAAAAACGTGGCAAAAAAATTAAAAGTGCGTAGTCTGATCAGCACACACTTCATTTGAATGTATTAAGAACAAGAATGAAATTTAAAAACAAGAATGAATCCGCCTAAAACAAGAATGAAAACAAAACTAACATATTATTGGTCGGAACCTGACAACGAAAAATAAAAACATTAAAAAATCAACCATATAGAAAATCAACCCTAGAAAGAGCATATACATAAATGCAGCAATGCACATTGATTAAGCTCAGGATGCAGTTAATGCTTTTGAAACTGCTAAAAATGATCTTTTGCAAATGAAGTAAATGAAGGTTGGAATCCTTTGCAAATGAAGGTTGGGAAAAATTTTGGTGCTTTAAAAACATACTCAGCAGACAAATGGAAAACTGTCAATTAACTCAAGGAAAATACTCGAAAAAATGTTCAACTAATTTGAACATCTCTATTGTTGGAAAATTTATACATGCATAACGCTGAAGCTGTTTGAATTTCATGAATTTGATTTCTTTCCAGCTTTACATCCTATTCCAAAATTATCATATCAAACTGCTAAAAAAATTTCGGCTCTTTTCCTGTTTGATTTTTTTCTTTTTCTGAATTCAATTCACGAAGCCAAGTTCAATATGAGTTGCAAAAAAATTATCACGAAAAGTGTCAGCGCGAACAAGTGAACACACTTTTTAAACATTTGGTACATGCAAAACGCCAATGAGCAAAAGTGGAACAACTTTATACTGTAATTGTAAGGAAGAGGCGGAAAACAAAGTAAGATTAATATGTGCAAACGAAAGTTTGCATTTAAGAATTGTTGTTAAAATCTATTTACATAATCACGCTGACATGTTATTTTACAATTTAAAACTTCGAAGTAATTTTAAAGCAAATTAGCTGGAAGTGTGCTGAAAAAAGCCACGAATAGTCTCTTATGATTGACAAAAAAATTTTCGGCTCTTTTTCTGTTTTATTTTTTTTTCTGAAATTCAATTCACGAAGCCAAGTTCAAGATGAGTTGCAAAAAAATTATCAAGAAAAAGTGTCAGCGCGAACAAGTGAGCACACTTTTTAAACATTTGGTACATGCAAAACGCCAATGAGCAAAAAGTTGAACAACTTTATACTGTAATTGTAAGGTAGAGGCGGAAAACAAAGTAAGATTAATATGTGCAAATGAAAGTTTGCATTTAAGAAATGTTGTTAAAATCTATTTACATAATCACGCTGACATGTTATTTTACAATTTAAAACTTCGAAGTAATTTTAAAGCAAATTAGCTGGAAGTGTGCTGAAAAAAGCCACGAATAGTCTCTTATGATTGACAAAAAAACTTTCGGCTCTTTTCCTGTTTTATTTTTTTTTCTGAAATTCAATTCACGAAGCCAAGTTCAAGATGAGTTGCAAAAAAATTATCAAGAAAAAGTGTCAGCGCGAACAAGTGAGCACACTTTTTAAACATTTGGTACATGCAAAACGCCAATGAGCAAAAGTTGAACAACTTTATACTGTAATTGTAAGGTAGAGGCGGAAAACAAAGTAAGATTAATATGTGCAAATGAAAGTTTGCATTTAAGAAATGTTGTTAAAATCTGTTTACATAATCACGCTGACATGTTATTTTACAATTTAAAACTTCGAAGTAATTTTAAAGCAAATTAGCTGGAAGTGTGCTGAAAAAAGCCACGAATAGTCTCTTATGATTGACAAAAAAATTTTCGGCTCTTTTCCTGTTTTATTTTTTTTTTCTGAAATTCAATTCACGAAGCCAAGTTCAAGATGAGCTGCAAAAAAATTATCAAGAAAAAATGTCAGCGCGAACAAGTGAGCACACTTTTTAAACATTTGGTACATGCAAAACGCCAATGAGCAAAAGTTGAACAACTTTATACTGTAATTGTAAGGTAGAGGCGGAAAACAAAGTAAGATTAATATGTGCAAATGAAAGTTTGCATTTAAGAAATGTTGTTAAAATCTGTTTACATAATCACGCTGACATGTTATTTTACAATTTAAAACTTCGAAGTAATTTTAAAGCAAATTAGCTGGAAGTGTGCTGAAAAAAGCCACGAATAGTCTCTTATGATTGACAAAAAAATTTTCGGCTCTTTTCCTGTTTTATTTTTTTTTTCTGAAATTCAATTCACGAAGCCAAGTTCAAGATGAGCTGCAAAAAAATTATCAAGAAAAAATGTCAGCGCGAACAAGTGAGCACACTTTTTAAACATTTGGTACATGCAAAACGCCAATGAGCAAAAGTGGAACAACTTTATACTGTAATTGTAAGGAAGAGGCGGAAAACAAAGTAAGATTAATATGTGCAAATGAAAGTTTGCATTTAAGAAATGTTGTTAAAATCTATTTACATAATCACGCTGACATGTTATTTTACAATTTAAAACTTCGAAGTAATTTTAAAGCAAATTAGCTGGAAGTGTGCTAAAAAAAGCCACGAATAGTCTCTTATGATCGACAAAAAAAATTTCGGCTCTTTTCCTGTTTTATTTTTTTTTCTGAAATTCAATTCACGAAGCCAAGTTCAAGATGAGTTGCAAAAAAATTATCAAGAAAAAGTGTCAGCGCGAACAAGTGAGCACACTTTTTAAACATTTGGTACATGCAAAACGCCACTGAGCAAAAGTTGAACAACTTTATACTGTAATTGTAAGGTAGAGGCGGAAAACAAAGTAAGATTATTATGTGCAAATGAAAGTTTGCATTTAAGAAATGTTGTTAAAATCTATTTACATAATCACGCTGACATGTTATTTTACAATTTAAAACTTCGAAGTAATTTTAAAGCAAATTAGCTGGAAGTGTGCTGAAAAAAGCCACGAATAGTCTCTTATGCTTGACAAAAAAATTTTCGGCTCTTTTCCTGTTTTATTTTTTTTTCTGAAATTCAATTCACGAAGCCAAGTTCAAGATGAGTTGCAAAAAAATTATCAAGAAAAAGTGTCAGCGCGAACAAGTGAGCACACTTTTTAAACATTTGGTACATGCAAAACGCCAATGAGCAAAAGTTGAACAACTTTATACTGTAATTATAAGGTAGAGGCGGAAAACAAAGTAAGATTAATATGTGCAAATGAAAGTTTGCATTTAAGAAATGTTGTTAAAATCTGTTTACATAATCACGCTGACATGTTATTTTACAACTCAAAACTTCGAAGTAATTTTAAAGCAAATTAGCTGGAAATTTCCTGAAAAAAGCCACGAATAGTCTCTTATGATTGACACTAAAACATACCCCGCAGAAAAAATCTAAATTGTAAAAAAAAATAAAAATAATTAATACGATTTAAATAGGTGGCGCTTTTCCAGTTTCTCACTCCCTCGGAAAATTATAATAGAAAGTTCTGGATTCAAAACAGTTATTCAAGTCTGTTCACTTGCTCAAGCTGACATGTTTTGTTGCAATTCAGAAGATCAAAAGTCATTTGAAACAGGCCATATTAGCTCTAATTTCAGAAAAATCAAAAGGTTTACGGGAATAGAGCCGAAAAATAGCTGCGGAAAACTGACGAAAAGGTCGGACTAACTAGCTTAATCAAAAGACATCTGCGCACTGTAAAATATTATAACAATGCTCAGATGAGTCTTCAGAAAAGTTCAGCTATTTTAACTTTTTCAAAATGCCAAAAACAAAATCCGTCAAAATGTTTTAATAATAAATTAGTTTCCAAGTATATGCAAAACAAATACACTTGAGAGAACGTCAAAGACGTTTAGCCTGTCGAGTGACGCCTCAGGGGCAAAGATAACTATGCTAATCATTAAATCATAAAACTTATGCTTTATCACACAATTACGCCTGTCTAAATCCAAAAAAAAATAAAAAAGCCCGCAAAACATTTTGCTTATTTACCGAATTGATATCAGAAAGCAAAAAAAAGAAACACCACTTACCAGAATGATTCCAAAAAGTCTTTGTTATCTATTATATAAAGATCTCGAAAGAGATGCAACATTTTTTTGAGTCGTTGTTGTCCTTCTGTCCATTAAAATTGATTTATCAAATTTTATTGAAAAGTTTAAAAAGTTTTTGATCCTGATGATTATTGTTCTGTTTTGATCGATTTCGGCTTTTGTCGTCGACTTTAGTTCTTTAACCCTATTAGTCAGGAGGGCTCAAGCTCACCCACATGTAAACAGTCGTTAATGTTGTCATTAGTGTGCTGCTTTCTCAATATTTTGCTAATGTTTTCATTAGTTCATATATGTGAAGTTCTCTATAAGTGAAAATTTTGTATTTGTTTTTCACTATTCGTAGAGTTTCCATTTTGTTCAGGTTCGTAAAATTCTGTTCCGCCTTATGTTAACACTTTTTAAATCAGTTTTATTTGCCGGACCAAATAACAACAGCAATCCATCTTGTAACACTCGTTGAGTGTATGCCTTATATAACTTTAAAAGAGATTTCTCAAAGAGTTTAATGATGAATTTTGCCTGTGTGTGATGACAATCGATTTATCGAGTGATTTAGATGTTGTTTGTATTTAAAAGTGTTGTCTAATGTAACCCCTATATATTTCATTTGTTAGTTCTAACGCTTTAATGTTCAAATTGATTTAGCAGTTTAATTTTGGCTTGAATAGGGGAACTTTACTTCTACTTTCACTTACTGCAAAATTATTGCTCTCCATTCATAACGAAATGCGCTGTAATTCTTCGGACCTTGTTTTATTTTCATCTTTAACAGTTCAAAACAATGTTGTGTCATCTGCAAAAATAGCTATTTCAAAATTGTAATACTTCAGGAAGCTTGGGGCACCCCATACACTATCGCACGTTTCTGTGATAACTGTTTTTCATTATCAACAGATTGGTATCGTTTTTCAAGGTATGACTTCAGAAATCCATGCATTGAGTTCTAAAGCCATATCGATAACATTTTTCTAGAAGAATTGAGTGATCATTGGTATCAAATGCTTTAAACAAACCAAAACATATTAATGCTACATCATCTTTAGCTGATAAACTATTCGAAATGGTCTCTATAACATCCAACACTGCATCTACTTTCGATTTTTTTGATTGATATCCAAATTGATTTGGCGTCAAAACTTTTTGCGATAGTATAAAATTTTTCATTCTGTTACAGAAGCACTTTACTTATTACCTGAAGAAAAGAACTGGTCTGTTTTCCATAGTTATTTTTCTTTCCACTCGTAAAAAACGGTATTACTCGGGTAACTTTCAAAGCTCGAGGAAAGTACAGCTCCTCAAGCAACTAAACGGCCATGCAAAATAACTACATACGGCCGGATCTATTTTTAAAAAACGATAATTATTATAACCCTTAGAGTCCGCTGATGTTTTGTTTTTCAAATTTTCTTATAAAAAGAAAAATTTCATGATCGCTTGTTTTCTGAAAGACTATTGACTCAGTAACTGTTTTCACGATTTCTAAATTCACTGGTAGTTCGAAGTTTTCTACTAATTCTTTCTCTATACTTACAAAGTAATCGTCGTTCATCTTATCGGGATCGAACTCTACTCGCTGATTAGTGCGAACACCATTAGTTTGTTTGGCTAATTGGAACAAACTTTTTGAACTGTCCTTTGATTGATCTGTTTTGTTTTCGTAGTGAGTGGTTTTAATTGTCTAGATTAACACTGGCTTTTTTTCTATTGTTTTTGACCCGAGATTCCCCAGCTCCCCGAGATTTTTCAATTGAAAATTTTTTATAGTTATTTTTCTCTTGCTGCTATAATTTTCACCCGATTGATCACCCAATCCTTATAGTTAGGGCGAGAAAAAACTCCTTTTCTAGTATTATTTCATTCATTGCTGATAGTATATTTTCATTTAAATTAAAAGTTAGGAAATCAATGGATTTAGAGAAATATTCAGTTTCAGTTCACTGTAAGTCGTTGTAAATCAAACAATTGAGGTCTAGTTGTTTTTCTTCCGACGATTGAACTCTCTTGAAGGGTCTGTTCAATTTCCTTAGCGTGGAAAAGTCATTTACATTCTTTTCACTCAAAGCCCCTTCAGTTTTTAAGTATACACCATGATGATCTGGTATTGCGGTAACTTTTGTTTAAACTGAACTCGAAAAATTTGTGAAAAAAAACATCAACCGAGGTCTGCGATTTAGCTGTTTCTCTAATTGAGTTGCTTGTTAATCTTGGCTACAAACCTTGAATTAATATTGTGCCTAGTAGTTTTTCGTACTTTTGTTGTCTTCCATAACTTTTATACTTATATCTCGTAGAATACAGAATGTCTAAAATTCTAGAATGTCTAGTCTTCTTGTAGAATGTCTAAAATTTCATCTATTCCAACAGTTGGTGATTTGTGAAACACAGTTAAAATCAATTTTTCTCCCTCTCTCAACATTTTTACCGATAAAATTTGTAAATGATGGTGCCATAATTAAGTTAACTACCACTACTGGGATTTTAAAAATGGAATTTGGAATGTTCAAAAAACTGAACCTCCTAAAAGAGCGAAAATTAATAGACAGACATTAACCCAAAAGCAGAAAGTTTCCAATTTGCAATAAAAACAGATCCCGGTCGGATTTGGGCTGAAGGCTTTTGTCGTCTCATGCAAGGGTGTTCCCTCTACGCTTAAAGCACTGAATGGTTGGGCAATTTAAATTTAACCTAGATCGAGTTGAAGCGCGTGTCACTTTTTCGCGTGCTAGTTCTGTGAACAAAGTTTTTTTACGGGAAAAAATCTAGCACCCGGTTGCAAATCCTAGCTTATTTTAAGGGTGCTTCAAATAAGGGAATGGAAAGGAGCCGAAACGAGCCTATATTGACACTTACAAGGCTTCATTGCGTAAATAACCAAAGCTGCAAAAAAAACAAATGTAATTAAAAAAAGAGCCAGCACAATATAACCCTGTAATAGTAAAATTAGGCACTTTTCCAGTTTCCCCCCTTTCAAAATACCGAGTTTTATGTTTGATTTACGTGTTATTACGGCTAAATGCGTGATGTTATGCTGTAAAGTATGAAGAACAAATCTGTTCACAGTTGTCGATTTGTTCACCACGCCAAATTTCATTGCATTATGACAACGTTAAATAAGCTTTTCAAAATTAAATTTGAAGGGGGGGGGGGGACTGGAAAAGAGCCTAAAATTACTGAGTGGGGGCATATATTTCTTTGTTACAAGACTGGGGAGGGGCTAAAATAAGAAAAACTCATAATTAGTTGACCCATGATGAGCTTGTTAACTGAAGCCATCTCGAATAGTTGTGTAATTTTATGCCTGTCTATTCAACTGGGGATGTTCTTGGAAGAAGCTAGTATGTACTGTCTCCGATATCCAGAAGTTCAGCAGGTAATGATTGCTCAGTTGCGTGATGAGATCCTCTTGAATTAAGCCTAGGAACACCCAAGCACATAATGAACACTGGTTCCTGATGATCGTATTTGCTGAATGTTTTAAAAGAAAGGGCATTCTCACTACAGTTCAGTTCAATTATAGCAAAAAATGGAAGAGCGCAATTTAGGGTTATCAGGTTTGAGCAGACAAAAAAATACCCGAACAAGGATAGCCGGTTACTGTGCAAGTAGCACAGAATGTTCGGACCACAGTCTTAAGAAAATACAAATTTTTTTTTCAAATTGATGTCGTTTTTTTCTGCATGTTGTGATAAAAAGATCTGAGCAAAAAAAATAGAATTTAGGAACATTTGAGAGTCATAAAAAATTGGTCAATTGGAAAACAGTTTTTGAAGAAAAATAACTAGAAAAACGAAAAAAAAAATTGATAAAATTTCAAAAAAAAACTTTTCAAATTTTTTAAATTTTTTGAATTTTCAACTTTTGATTCCCAAAATTGCGCTTAAAAACTCCAAAAACTACCTTTTTTGAGTTAAACTAAGTTTTCACGGCTTAAATTAAGCTTAAATAAGCTATTGTTAGAAAACACGGTCAACTTATTAGCTCGAAATTAGACCAAAAATCAAAAATTTCAAACCGGTTTTTCTGAACACTGCGAGAAAAAAATTAATGTCGTTCGAATCACAATTGAAAGGGCTTTAATATGATATATCACTCGACTCATTCCGATAATTATTTTAGTACCTGATTTTGCGTGGAAAACAAAAAGAAGAAAAACTAAAACACCCGAATTCAAAGTTCCTCCCCATTTTCAATGGTCGGAACAATAAATACCCACGAGTTCAAAAAACCCCGCAGAAATTCGGACAGATTATATCTGTAAGATGAACATAACAGCCATTGTGCAATAATAATCATTTCACAAAATAACAGCTCGTTAATAAAGTATCGCCGTCGAAAAAATATAGGAAAAATGTAAACGGAGTTAACACTATCAAGAAACCAGTGCCTGCGTTTCGTTTATTGGGTCGCACCATCTGTCTACATCTGCCACACGGAATGCCCACTTGACAGCCTTTGAAGCAGAACATAAGAGGAGGAGAGAGAAAGATGGGTCTGCGGATCAGGGGCACCAGTTCGAATCCCGCTCGGGCCACCGAGGACGCTTTGCTGCTATCATTGCTTTCTTCCGTTACCTCAGCAGCAAAAATTGGAGGCGCACAGCAGTTTAAGGAGGCTTTCTAATTTTTATTTTCAAATCACTCAGCAAAAGTTACTAGTTTCATTATAAAAACGTATAAAAACACATATGGATTCCCAAAAAAATTTATCTTATAAAGGACATGAAAATTTAGGAGTCCGTAGGATATGCCATTTTGCAACAACAAGGTAACGGAGAAAGCTTCTCGGTTGATTGTAATTGCCTCGCTGTATTGGCAGGAGGCTTTTTAGAGATGGCTGCTCCTGGCATGTCAGTTTATTAGCAAGATAATTTTTGTGGGAAACTTTGTTAGTTACGAGAGAAGAGAGTAATATGGCACGTGAGACAAGCACAGAGCACGTGATGTCTTCGAAATATCATTTAATCTAGTGTAATTGATGTACCCACTTTCCTTCAATTTAAAAAAGTGGCTCTTTTCTTGTTACCCAAACCCCTCGAGGAAAACCTGTCTAAATGATGTTTATACGGCAAATTTGCACGTTGAAAAAGTTGCTTCAACTTTTTCACACTGAGGTAGTGTTTTAGTATGATTTATAATACAACCATAGAAGTGATTTTAAATAGTATTTGAGAGATCAAATTTCGGTGCAAAACAAAAGAGGGTACTCGAAGAGCCAACGTTGAGTTAAGCCAAAGTATACAAATCGGACCAGCAGAAACAGAAATGCGAAACATAAACATTTCCTGTTACAATCTCGTGTACACGAACAAAAAGTAACTTAACTATTGGGATTTCGAGGCTCTAAAATGTACTGTCAGCTATAGTGGAAAGATTCTAACAGCTACAAAAAAAATCTTTCCGATTATAGCCCGACATCTTAGTAACAAAAAAACTTGTACAACAATATGCTTTTTCAATTATTGAGCGCTGTAATTTGATCGTAGGGCTATGATAGATAAATTGACACAGAGGCGAAGCTGCACTTTGCAAACACAAGCGAGGAAAATGCAAAAAAGAGCTCTAAACAAGCACAAAGTGAAATAAGGAAAAGATTAAAAATACACCTGGAAAAAAACTGTTGAGACTAGGAGTATCACGTTCTCACATCTGCTCGACGACCACTTGTTGCTTTCCTAATACTGGTCACCAATAAAGCAGCTACAGTTTCTATCAAATTTCCAATGTTATGCAGCTAAAATTCGACCAAAAAAAAAATATTTATATGTTCCGATTTGAATATCCGGCCTGATGATTAGGAGTCTAACATCCTCGCATCTGCACCTCAGTTGCAGGGAAATAAACTAGTGACCCAGGTAATGCTAGATCCACCGTTTCTACTATTTTTAATCATTTAATCGAAAAAATGAACTTCACGCTAAACCCTAGTGTTTCTCTACTTAACTAGGTGATTGACCGTTTTGTTCAAGAAAAAAACTACTACTCGCTCTTTCAATTGAAGTCTCTATATCAGATTGGCTTGGGGATTTTCGGAAAAAAGTGAAGACTCCAAAAATCGACCAATATTTGACTTTCCTAAATCCATAAACTTTTCGCTAGATAAGCATGAAAATAGCCTCTGCTTCCCATACCTTGATTTTTAGATTGAAACCCTAAAATCAGATTTAGCTAGTAGTTTTAGAGAATAGAAACGGAATTTCAAAAAAAAACTGTTAAAATTTAAAAAGGATTTGTTCCCAAGTCCATATCAGTTTTACAAAAAAAAACAGGGTAAAACACATTACGCAGTGAAAATCTAAGCACCATGTTAGTTGCAATGAATATCAACGTCAAAGTCAGCAGGTTAGTTTTGAAAAAAAGAATACTTTCCAAAAAACGGGCAGAAAATCAAAAATTGGACATTTTCTAAGGCCATATAATTTTTCAAAACGCAGGGTATACCCGCTTGCGCAGGTCAGATTCGCAAATGATATTTTTCTTTCGGTTGAACCCTTAATATCAGATTTAGCATAGTAATTTTTGAGAAAACTTTTTTTTGCCAATTTTAGGGAATAGCCGCTTGAGAGAGAAAAATCCACATAATTTTTTTTTACTGAAACCCTCATCTCAGATTTGTGCATTTAATATTTGAGAAAAGGAAAAAATTCAAAACAAATAGGCCAAAATTCTACCTCCTTAAACTTTGACCGTAGAACGTGAGGTAAAAGTAAAAGAGACTAGCAACAGATGCAGGCAGATAGAAGAGCAGCCAATTTTTTCCGGTTTTTCGTTAAAAAATTTTTGAAAATCGGTGGTAGTTTTTGAGAAAAATTGAAATTTCAGCGAAAAGTGCAAACATTTTCCAAGTGTCGCAAAAAAACCCGAAAAACAACAAATCCATACATTTTCATAAAACATGTTTTTGTTTCAAACAAGATCTAACACCAGCTCAAAATAAAGCAGCAACATATGCCATCAAACATTGTTAAAGCTTAAATAAGTTTAAATATGATTAAACTGAAATATACCAAAAGTGCCACCAAATGATCACTTTAATTGGCGACTTAGGTTAGAAAAAAAATCCTTCGTAATTATACTCTGCGCTTCGCATGTGTAAATAAAAATTTGTAATCAAATCTGAATCTTTTGATAACCTGCCACCATAAAAACATAGCCAACAGACAGTTGGAAAAGAGTCAATGAATGCAAATAAATAAAAAATATACTTTTTGAAAAAATCTCAATTATCGAACTTCAAAGAAACAATTATCTGGCCTTAAAGCTCCTTGAAATTTTAGAATAATTTAAGATTGACACTTTTTCGATAAAACAAACCCAATTTGAGAAAATTGGAACAAAAGGTAAAATTTTTATTTTATTGGGAAAGCTGATAATTAAATTCGTTTTTCGAAGTTAGAAGTTGATCACGTTTTTTGTAACCTTAACACTTTCGCTGTTCGATAGTGGAGTTTGTCTTCCGTTCAACAAAGGAAGTGACTGAACTTAAAAAGAAATCAAAAATCAAACCGCGAAAAGGTAAATTTTGAGCGTGAACAAAAACGAAAAAAAAAAAAAAAAAAAAAAAAAAAAAAAAAAACCATCACGACCGATATAGGTCTGAACCACGTTCATCAACTCTACTTTAAAATCGTTTGCACATCACAACCATCGCGGACTTACAACTAACATTAAAGGAAATAGGACTTTTACAATCGAAATTTACATTTATCCGACCATCATATATAATCTGGACAGACTAAGATTAAACTGCCAACTTGATTCTTGTTGTTCAGGTAGGGTTTGAGAGCTGGACGTATATATTTTGTCCGACTCCTCCTCAAGAGCTGTCCCATGCCAATGTAGTAGTTTCAGGTGTGTTTTTGATATAAAATATTGTACGCTTACGTAGACTTTTAGGTTTAATTAATTCGTAAATTAATTCATAAATAACAATTTATCTTAGTGCTTGGAAACGGTTTGCTAGACATTAACCAACTGCTAGTTAACAACTGAAAAAATATACCAGTCTACCTTCCGATCGCTTTAAGGTGAAATTAAGAAATGATTTGACTAACATGAAGTAGAAATCCAGTTTGATCATCTCCAGGGCCATGACGACAGGAAACAACTGGAACACATTGGCCATACTATCCAGTCCATGGTCGAACAACTCCCCAACCACACTACCCACTCCAAGCGCACGCGCATGCATACCGTCTAAGGTGAACCACTTTTCCTTTATTAAAGTTAGTTTCCTTTGTTTCCTATGGAAGTTTGTGTTTAAAGTCACTTTCCTCTCCGTTAAAGTTAGTTTTATAAGACTGTTTCATTTTTTGGCCTGTTGTTTACCGTTGCTCAAAAACAAAGTCCTGTCATACTTTCTAAAAAATATCCTAACACACTTTCATAACTACGAAAATATTCAAAGATATCTCGAGCCAAATTTCCAAATATAAAGGAAAAGTTCCTAGGTTGTCGCACTTTCATAACTACGAAATTATTCAAAAATATCTCGAGCCAAATTTCCAAATATAAAGGAAAAGTTCCTAGGTTGTCGCAGGTGTTGTAGAAGAATCCACATGATACAGCTAGCAGGAGGAGGGAGAGAGGTCGAGGGTCGGAGAGATCGAAGGAGTAGAGCACGAGAGGGGCAAAGCCAAGTGCATTCACTAGGAAACCTATAAATAAAAAGGGAATACTTTTAACCTGATTTCCTCAAAGCTTTCAAAATGAAATTAGTCTGTTTTCTTCTATTATCGGGCATAGATTAAGAACAAGAATTCAAATGACAATAAGATTAACTGAAAAATGTTTGCTGCGGCCATAGCTGATGCAGAAGTTTAGGCTCGAGATTGAACTTAAGTGCCACAAATAAATGTCAGATGAGGCTGATTAATGTATCATATCACCCCTCTTTCAATTGTAATTCCAGCACTGCAAAGGACGATAAATTTGACCAATCTGAAAAAAAAGGCTGAAAAATTTCTTTTTTTTTAGCGAGGCGTGAAAAATTTTAGTACAAGAGCCACTTCATTACATAATGCAAATAAAATTGATTTCACACGAAGCTATTAGTAAGTGCTTTCAAAAGCTACGTTGGGTTAATGCCCTAGCCTAGGAAACTCAGCTGCCATATAGAGCAAAAGCAAATTCTGGTGCTCTATAGAAAAAATTTTAGTAACACAGAGGCGAAGCGGAGCTTCGCACCACTTGCGATACAACACAAACATAGAAAAAATATATAAGTCGAAAAAAGTTTTAAATGTTAAAAAAAGACTAAGTGAACCAAAATTTTCGCATGTCTCCATTAAAAACAACTAGAGGCTCAGCTAAAGCTGGAGGTATGAGATTGATATTGAATTAATTTGCTATACTGATGCGGCACTAAAATGATTGATAAGAGTAAGAAAATTTGAGATGATAAATTTTCCCAAGGAGTAACCGTTTCTGCAGGAACCATTATCGCAACCGTTTCTTTCAGCTAAACTTTTCATCTCAGATTTGAATGAGTACATTTTAAGAAAATTCAGTTTCTAAAAAATGATCATAAGTTCTAAAAGATGGTCACAAGGATCTCCAAAATCCATGACTTTTTCCTGCAAAGAGCAGCTTATGGCCGCTGAAGCAGAGAATACTCATAGCATTTCCGAGAATCAATTTGACATTTCCGACAAGTGTAGTTCTCGAGAAATTTCAAAAACTTACAAGTCAAAAAATCAAAATTTGACTATTCCGAGGGCCAACTCTTGGTGTCATAAAAATTTGGGAAAAGTAGCATAAGCAAATGAGCTTCCCGCAACCCGTTCTTTGAAGAGATCCCAAAATCTCAAATATGGCGGGATAGTTTTCGAGAATATTCAAAAAGTTTAGTAAACGGCCAGAAATCAAATATTTGACCATTCCGAGGGCCATAACTTTGAGTAGAAAAAATTTGGTCGTAGCCGCTCATGCAAGGAGCTTTTCAAAACTGTTCTTGTCAAAACCGTTCTAGAAAAAATACCAAAAATATGGGTCAAATATTCCCCCACAGACTTTTTCGAAGGCTGTAACTAAAACTTTTCAAATGAATTTGGAAATAATTTTCCATTATGAAAAAAAGGAAATTTCAACAAAAATACAAACAACATGAAAAATGCGAACGGGTGTGTTCAAGTTATGTGTCTCTTGAAACGACCCTAAGTTAGGACAATAAGCAACTAAAAAATAGACCGAAATAATTTGGGCCGAGGAATTTTTTTTCAGTGAAACAAAAAAACAAAGAAGCAAATACGAATCCAAAGGTAAGTAAAAGTACAAACAAATTGTAGGAGTAAATCAAACACCAAAAGCAACATTAAAAAAAGTGCGCGCAACAAAAAAATGATTTCAAGAAGTGACAACTAAGCCGAAAACAGATAAGCAGACAAATAATTGGCCGACAATTTTAATTGAAACAGAATATTTTCCCCTTTGAAAAAAATAGGTCCTGGTCAGCTTCGAACCCACGATCTTTGCCATCCCAGGCATATTCGTTACCTCCAGGCTAAGCTGCACGAAATGCATAGAAGTTTGAACTCATTATGAACCAATATAGAAGTGGTTCAATGATTCTGTTAAACAAGTTGTTAACCCGAAAAAAGTCTATACTCCAGTTTGATCACGCGTTTATTTAAAAACCAACTACTGTTTTTACCGCTTTTCGAGATAAAAAAATTCAATTTGGAGAATAAGCAGAGCCCTTCCAGGAAACAAAATTGCAGCTTAGTAGAGTAGTGGATAGATGCAATTTATTTATTTCTGAGAATTAAAATTGAAGAATTCATTTAATGATTTTAAAAAAGATTTTTGAGAAAAATCGGCAAATTCTGCCGTATGTTTGAAATTTTGCTCTTTCTGCAGCTCTTTAAAATACTCTGCCTCAAAAGCCGACTTCTGCCAATTCTGCTGCTACAAGAATCATTTGGGGCCTGGTTATTGTGCAAGGCTGAAACTTTCGCTCAGCAACTAAAATGGTTTTTTGCAGGTATCTAGTAGTTCGCAAAATTAAATTCACTGTATAACGACCCCCCCCCCCCTATTTTCACCGGCAAATTCAAAAAACACGAAATAAGAAAATGTTGAAAATATATACATTTTTTCTCGCTAATTTCGCAAATTGTTTAGAAAATGACGATGGTGGGAATACTATGCGCTACTGGCACAGTCCGGGGATATTCTTGTTACGACAATTGAAAATGGGGAGGAACTATTGTCTTCAGGTGTGTTTTAGTTTTTTCTTTTCGTCACACAAAATCAGGTACCGCAAATAATCATCAGAAGTGGTCGAGTGTCATATCACACTAAATCCCTTTCAGACGTGCCTATCAACATCAAAAACAACCAAAAAGTTTTCTCAGTGTCAAGAAAAACTGGTTTCAAATGTTTGAGTTTTAGTCAAATCGAGCGGTTTTAGACTAAATACGAGCAAATTTGAAGAAGAAGCCGATAAACTATTATTTAGTTTTACTCCAGTGAAAAAAAAATCGACATTATTTTTAGCTCCATCTAGCATCTAAACACTTAAACTTTTTAGGTATAATTTTATTTGTCTAGTCATTTTTCCTTCTACTGTCCAATATGCCTTATGATAATGTTACTATTATCCTGGAGTTATTGCTAAAATTGTATCTTCCTGTTAGGAATAAATTCAATTTCATACCAGTCTTTTCCCGGTTTGTCCAAAACGTTCTGTTTTCTGCACAAGGTAAATTACAATTATGAACTACAGCTAAAGGATATATATTTGTTAGCTCCGTAATATGGTGGTGATGTTTTTCAACCAATCAGTGCTTTTTCAGGGGCTTTTATTTATACAAGACTTTTTTAAATGATTTTAACAAAAGGAACCCTAGGTTCCTGATATGCCTATTTTACTATGACTATCGAAGTTCTAGGCTTTCGTTTAGATCTTTTCCACCACATAATTTAATTGTATTTTCATAGCTTTTTGATGGTGTTTTTCAAACGCTACAATTTACTCTTCTCGATATAACGCTCGGGTTTTCCCACCCAACCGCAAGATATTTAGGCTAAGCATATCCGAACCTTCCAAAAAATTAGGACTTCAATTACCAACTTACCAGCAAGTGTGATCAAATTAGGGGATAAATTTCTCGGGAGCCTTTTCTGGATCAAATTCCAAAATCCCGGCAGCAGGAAATTGTTATCAATTAGAGAACTGGTCGATGATGAATACTTGTATTTCTTCAATCCGTCTAACTGCTCACGAGTAACTCTGAACTCACTCAACAACATCGTTGCAAGATAATTCTCTCAAGCCTCCAGAAATTTTGAACTCTACCTTTCTGGTTAATTTTAACGCATTCTGAGCTCAACTTAACGACTGCTAGTTGTTTGCAATACTAACTAACCTTGGGTTTAATCACCTTCATTTTGGCGGTCAACAAACGCAATATTATGTAATCATAGTGACGAAACAACATCAAATATGGTCGTCATTTTAAGCAAAACTGAATCTACTTAATCTATCTGAAATGAGCAAAAACATCGATTCCAATTTTCAATCAGTTTATTAAATGTGATACGAAAATAACAGATCTTTTTATAATATGCAGCCATGATACGAAAAAATTGAAAAATTTCTGCATGAGCATAACAGTCCGGGAAACAAGATTTCTTGAAATTGCGAATTAAATCACCAGTCATGGAAATATTATTTGTAAAGCATATTATGTCGCGCCCGTCTCCGCCAGGTTTAGTGATATTGTTGACAATATGGCCACTGAGCAGTTTCGCCTTTCGTTAATCATTTGTTTTTTATTGTTTGGAAGAATCACATTGTGTTTTTATTACTAAATTAAATAAATTGAAAATTTCTTCGGCAAAAAATGGAATCAGTTATGTCAATAAAATCATGCTGAAATCTGAGGTAAGCACCGAAGCGGAAAGCCTAAAAAGTAATGCAATTACTTGAGAGACTGCCCTTTAGAAATTACTCGATTACTCCCCTCGATATATTATTTAGAAATTACTCCCCTCGATATATAATATAAGTGAAAAACAGTAAACGTAGCTCATGTAGCTCAGAATCTTCCGAACTCACTGATTCAAGAAAATAATTTCAAAATTTTTTTTTTAAATCATAACAATAAATCATTTTTTTCCTTTCCTTTCAAAATTCCGATTAGTTTTTTCCAGTAAAGGACGACTGTATTAGATGGAAAACTAAGAATGGAAAGTAAAATGACTAAAATGATTTAAAATTTGAGAAGTAAGAAATTTGGTTAACTTGCAAAGGGCGGTCAGCCTCTCGTAGATTTTCGTCTAATTTAGTCAAGAAACCAAAAACTTTCAGAACAGTTTTTCTCGACACGGTGAGAACTTTTCGAGCTTTCTATTTAGAATGCAAATGCTTAGAACTAATAAGGCAACCGCCAATCAAACATTTAATGAGCACCCGCCAATCAGCCAGCTATGTTGAAGACCAGGCTCTTCATTTTCAGGTCCGGCTCACGTCCATGGAATAGAAAAAACTGCACGTAAATTTGGAATAAAAAAACTCTAAAAACAACCAATCAACCACTACAGCCACCAAATCTCCTCCAGTGCAATATCAATCAATAAAAAAACGGTGTATTCGAATCACAAGTATATTGGCATCAGGTACAAATCGGTATATACAAAAAAAAGTAATAACTTCTCAGTCACTTTTCAAAACATACTTTCCAATTTCTCTCAAGATATAGTCATGTCAAAAATGGTCCAATTCTACTCAAAATAATTGACGGAAATAAGGTGGTAGTTTTCTTCGGTAAACAATAACAGGGTGTGAATCAAGTCAGTTGAAGATAAGTCATCTTCCTTTTCCCACTAACCAGTCTCCGCAAATAGCCAACTATGAGCAGCCAATTAAACTCGAAAAAAAGAAGATGCTAAAGAGTAATAAGGTATTAAAGAAACAACAACTCGCAATACATAAAAAGCAAAAAGTGAGCAATTTTGTCATTTCGCATTTGGACAAATGAATTCAAGAAAAGCTGTTACAAAAGCAAATAGCATAACTAAAAATGTAAGCAATAGGACAATCAGAGTTGATTGCACTCAGCCAACAGAACATGCAGCCTGAGTTACCCGCCCAGGGACCCAGCTAGCAGCAGAAATGGCATGATTCGGCTAGTAGAGCAGGATATTCAACTGAGCAGCAGACAGAGCAGAACTCAACCATACGGCAGAATTTAAGACATTTTTCCCATAAATTTTTAACATAGGCGCTACGCGCAATACACCGAAGGCATAGAAACTGAAGCAAAAACCAAACAACTTGAACAACTAATAATTGAAGAATAACAGTTCTAGAACAAAAAATCGTACTAATACATGTATACACCAAAATTTTGCTATATCGAGAAAGAGCCTGAAATAACAGTTCTAGAACTAAAAATCGTACTAACACATGTATAGGTTAAATTTTTGATATATCAACGAAGATCATAAAATAACACTTCTAGAACTAAAAATCGTACTAACACATGTATACACCAAAATTTTACTATATTGACAAAGGGCCTGAAATAACAGTTCGTGAGCTAAAAATCGTACGAACACATGTATACACCAAAATTTTGCTATATTGGCAAAGATCATGAAAAAACAGTTCGAGAGCTAAAAATCGTACTAACACATGTATAGGTTAAATTTTTGATATATCAACGAAGATCATAAAATAACACTTCTAGAACTAAAAATCGTACTAACATATGTATACACCAAAATTTTACTATATTGACAAAGGGCCTGAAATAACAGTTCGTGAGCTAAAAATCGTACGAACACATGTATACACCAAAATTTTGCTATATTGGCAAAGATCATGAAAAAACAGTTCGAGAGCTAAAAATCGTACTAACACATGTATACGTCAAATTTTTGCTATATTGACAAAGATCATGGAATAACAGTTCTAGAGCTAAAAATCGTACTAACACATGTATACACCAAAATTTTGATATATTGACAAAGATCATGAAATAACAGTTCGAGAACTAAAAATCGTAATAACACATGTATACACTAAAATTTTGATATATTGACATAGATCATAAAATAACAGTTCGAGAACTAAAAATGGTACTAACACATGTATACGCTAAAATATTGCTATATTGACGAAGAGCCTGAAATAACAATTCTAGAGCTAAAAATCGTACTAACACACGTATACGTCAAATTTTTGCTATATTGACAAAGATCATGGAATAACAGTTCTAGAGCTAAAAATCGTACTAACACATGTATACACCAAAATTTTGCTATATTGACAAAGATCATGGAATAACAGTTCGAGAACTAAAAATGGTACTAACACATGTATACAATAAAATTTTGATGTATTGACAAAGATCATGAAATAACAGTTCGAGAACTAAAAATGGTACAAACACATGTATACGCTAAAATATTGCTATATTGACGAAGAGCCTGAAATAACAATTCTAGAGCTAAAATCGTACTAACACATGTATACACCAATATTTTGCTATATCGACAAAGAGCCTGAATAAACGTTGTAGAACTAAAAATCTTACTAACACATATATACACCAAAATTTTGCTATATTGACAAAGAGCCTGAAATATTGACAAAGGACCTGAAATAACAGTTGATTGAAACTACAGTGTACCTAATACAAGTATACACAGCAGTTGAAATAGAAAAACTGTGTATCTAATACAAGTATACACAGATCAGTTGAATGAAACTACAGTGTACCTAATACAAGTATATGGTCGTCATTTTAAGCAAAACTGATTCTACTTAATCTATCTGAAATGAGCAAAAATATCTATTCCAATTTTCAATCAGTTTATTAAATGTGATACGAAAATAACAGATCTTTTTATAGTATGCAGCCATGATACGAAAAAATTGAAAAATTTCTGCATGAGCATTACAGTCCGGGAAACAAGATTTCTTGATATTGCGAATTAAATCACCAGTCATGGAAATATAATTTGTAAAGCATATTATGTCGCGCCCGTCTCCGCCAGGTTTAGTGATATTGTTGACAACATGGCCACTGAGCAGTTTCGCCTTTTGTTAATCATTTGTTTTTTATTGTTTGGAAGAATCACATTGTGTTTTTATTACTAAATTAAATAAATTGAAAATTTCTTCGGCAAAAAATGGAATCAGTTATGTCAATAAAATCATGCTGAAATCTGAGGTAAGCACCGAAGCGGAAAGCCTAAAAAGTAATGCAATTACTTGAGAGACTGCCCTTTAGAAATTACTCGATTACTCCCCTCGATATATTATTTAGAAATTACTCCCCTCGATATATAATATAAGTGAAAAACAGTAAACGTAGCTCATGTAGCTCAGAATCTTCCGAACTCACTGATTCAAGAAAATAATTTCAAAATTTTTTTTTTAAATCATAACAATAAATCATTTTTTTCCTTTCCTTTCAAAATTCCGATTAGTTTTTTCCAGTAAAGGACGACTGTATTAGATGGAAAACTAAGAATGGAAAGTAAAATGACTAAAATGATTTAAAATTTGAGAAGTAAGAAATTTGGTTAACTTGCAAAGGGCGGTCAGCCTCTCGTAGATTTTCGTCTAATTTAGTCAAGAAACCAAAAACTTTCAGAACAGTTTTTCTCGACACGGTGAGAACTTTTCGAGCTTTCTATTTAGAATGCAAATGCTTAGAACTAATAAGGCAACCGCCAATCAAACATTTAATGAGCACCCGCCAATCAGCCAGCTATGTTGAAGACCAGGCTCTTCATTTTCAGGTCCGGCTCACGTCCATGGAATAGAAAAAACTGCACGTAAATTTGGAATAAAAAAACTCTTAAAACAACCAATCAACCACTACAGCCACCAAATCTCCTCCAGTGCAATATCAATCAATGAAAAAACGGTGTATTCGAATCACAAGTATATTGGCATCAGGTACAAATCGGTATATACAAAAAAAAGTAATAACTTCTCAGTCACTTTTCAAAACATACTTTCCAATTTCTCTCAAGATATAGTCATGTCAAAAATGGTCCAATTCTACTCAAAATAATTGACGGAAATAAGGTGGTAGTTTTCTTCGGTAAACAATAACAGGGTGTGAATCAAGTCAGTTGAAGATAAGTCATCTTCCTTTTCCCACTAACCAGTCTCCGCAAATAGCCAACTATGAGCAGCCAATTAAACTCGAAAAAAAGAAGATGCTAAAGAGTAATAAGGTATTAAAGAAACAACAACTCGCAATACATAAAAAGCAAAAAGTGAGCAATTTTGTCATTTCGCATTTGGACAAATGAATTCAAGAAAAGCTGTTACAAAAGCAAATAGCATAACTAAAAATGTAAGCAATAGGACAATCAGAGTTGATTGCACTCAGCCAACAGAACATGCAGCCTGAGTTACCCGCCCAGGGACCCAGCTAGCAGCAGAAATGGCATGATTCGGCTAGTAGAGCAGGATATTCAACTGAGCAGCAGACAGAGCAGAACTCAACCATACGGCAGAATTTAAGACATTTTTCCCATAAATTTTTAACATAGGCGCTACGCGCAATACACCGAAGGCATAGAAACTGAAGCAAAAACCAAACAACTTGAACAACTAATAATTGAAGAATAACAGTTCTAGAACAAAAAATCGTACTAATACATGTATACACCAAAATTTTGCTATATCGAGAAAGAGCCTGAAATAACAGTTCTAGAACTAAAAATCGTACTAACACATGTATAGGTTAAATTTTTGATATATCAACGAAGATCATAAAATAACACTTCTAGAACTAAAAATCGTACTAACACATGTATACACCAAAATTTTACTATATTGACAAAGGGCCTGAAATAACAGTTCGTGAGCTAAAAATCGTACGAACACATGTATACACCAAAATTTTGCTATATTGGCAAAGATCATGAAAAAACAGTTCGAGAGCTAAAAATCGTACTAACACATGTATACGTCAAATTTTTGCTATATTGACAAAGATCATGGAATAACAGTTCTAGAGCTAAAAATCGTACTAACACATGTATACACCAAAATTTTGATATATTGACAAAGATCATGAAATAACAGTTCGAGAACTAAAAATCGTAATAACACATGTATACACTAAAATTTTGATATATTGACATAGATCATAAAATAACAGTTCGAGAACTAAAAATGGTACTAACACATGTATACGCTAAAATATTGCTATATTGACGAAGAGCCTGAAATAACAATTCTAGAGCTAAAAATCGTACTAACACACGTATACGTCAAATTTTTGCTATATTGACAAAGATCATGGAATAACAGTTCTAGAGCTAAAAATCGTACTAACACATGTATACACCAAAATTTTGCTATATTGACAAAGATCATGGAATAACAGTTCGAGAACTAAAAATGGTACTAACACATGTATACAATAAAATTTTGATGTATTGACAAAGATCATGAAATAACAGTTCGAGAACTAAAAATGGTACTAACACATGTATACGCTAAAATATTGCTATATTGACGAAGAGCCTGAAATAACAATTCTAGAGCTAAAATCGTACTAACACATGTATACACCAATATTTTGCTATATCGACAAAGAGCCTGAATAAACGTTGTAGAACTAAAAATCTTACTAACACATATATACACCAAAATTTTGCTATATTGACAAAGAGCCTGAAATATTGACAAAGGACCTGAAATAACAGTTGATTGAAACTACAGTGTACCTAATACAAGTATACACAGCAGTTGAAATAGAAAAACTGTGTATCTAATACAAGTATACACAGATCAGTTGAATGAAACTACAGTGTACCTAATACAAGTATACACAGCAGTTGAAATAGAAAAACTGTGTACCTAATACAAGTATACACAGACCAGTTGATTGAAACTACCGTGTACCTAATACAAGTATACACAGATCAATTGAACTAAATAAATTGTGTACCTAATACAAGTATACACAGACCAGCAGTTGATTGAAACTACAGTGTACCTAATACAAGTATACACAGACCAGTTGATTGAAACTACAGTGTACCTAATACAAGTATACACAGCAGCTGAAATAGAAAAACTGTGACCAGTTGATTGAAACTACAGTGTCAACAAATAAACAAAACACACCTGATAAATAAATAAGCAATAAAAAAATAAATCAATACATAAATAAATAAATACATACATAAATAAATAAATAAATAAATAAACGCAAAACTGAAATGTACAAATAATTAAATTAACATGAAAAAATATATATCTCATGAACAAATAACCAAACAAACAGACCCATAATATAAATAAATGAAAGTAAATGAATTAAATAAATACACATACATAAATAATAAAAGCAAAACTAAATGAAAGAAAGAATAATTAAATAAATATAGAAATAAATATCAACAAATAAACAAAACACACCTGATAAATAAATAAGCAATAAAAAACTAAATCAATACATAAATAAATAAATAAATACATAAATGAATACATAAATAAATAAATATATAAATAAATAAAAGCAAAAGTGAAATGTACAAATAATTAAATAGACATGAAAAAATATATATGAACAAATAACCAAACAAACAGACCCATAATATGAATAAATGAAAATAAATAAATGAAATAAATACACATACATAAATAATAAAAGCAAAACTAAATGAAAGAAAGAATAATTAAATAAATATAGAAATAAATATCAACAAATAAACAAAACACACCTGATAAATAAATAAGCAATAAAAAAAATAAATCAATACATACATAAATAAATAAATACATAAATAAATACATAAATAAATAAATAAATAAATAAATAAAAGCAAAAGTGAAATGTACAAATAATTAAATAGACATGAAAAAATATATATGAACAAATAACCAAACAAACAGACCCATAATATAAATAAATGAAAATAAATAAATAAATAAATACACACGCAGAAATAATAAAAGCAAAACTAAATGAAAGAAAGAATAATTAAATAAATAAACAAAACACGTGATAAAAATAAACAAAAATAAATATGTACATACATAAATTATAAATAAATATAAGCAAACTAAACATAATTAAATAAATAGAAGAACAGATAATTAAATAAATAAAGATGAACAAATAAAGAAACAAACATACGCAATCACGTGACATAGCGCGATATAGTCCAGCCCACATGATAATTGATAACTGTGGACGTTATTTGTCGACACTTGACAACAGACAACATTAAAAAAAAACCCGTTACACGATACCATAACACCTTGACTAAAGTCTTCGGTGTAAAAAGATGAATAAAATAAATTGAAGGCTAATATTCTATTTCTCAAAGAAAAAAAACGCATCTTGGAACTACCTGACTAAAAATATTTTGCTCTATTTCTAAGAAATGTGTAATAACCATCTGTTTGGGGAAAACTTGTAAAACGAAAAGTTAACTGGTTGCGTCAAATGAAATTCATCCAAGATGAGCATATCTGACTCAAGTTTTTGTGACTGTTTTTCAGTTATGCTTACAGTTAACGTTAACTTTTTTAATGAACGGAGGGTTTTCTTTAAAGTTTTCATAGGGCAGAAAAAGCAAAAATGTTATTCTAGAGAAGTAGAATTTGCTCTAAAAAGCATTTCTTTGGGGTTAGAGTTCTTTAGAGGTCTTTGGGGCCGGAATACACCAAAGTGTCAAAAACTATCAAAACTCAAATAAAGAATTTTCCTTAAAAATTAGCGCGTAGCGCTTACACCGGGAGAATTTCCACAACCTGTTTTTTCGACTGATTCTTCGAACCCAGATTTGGGAGGGTAGTTTTCGAGAACTGTCGAAAAGATTCACAAAAACGGTCAATGAGTCTTTTTGAGGCCATTTATAAATTTGCAAAAATTTTTGCGCAAGGAAGATCCCCCAGAACTAGTTTTTTCATTGAACCTTTATTCCCGGATATGAGAGAGTAGTTTTTGAGAAAACTCAGGAAAACGTTCCTAAAAATGGTCTTTTCTGAGTGAGGCCATAACTTTTATAAGGGCGTAGCGGCTTAATTTTTTTTAGAAATAAGGGCGTAGCGACTTAAGCAAAAAAGATCTTCGCAAAAAAAATGCAAAAAATGAGTCAAACAATCCCACCGTTGAAATTTTTGAAGGTCGTGAAGGTGGCGTAAAGTGAAATATGACAAGATAAAAATGCAGACACACAATATAGCAGCCATTGGTACCAGTTTTTTTTTAAAATGATGAATTAGTTGTCGAGAAAAACGAAAAACTTGCAGAAAGAGCAAAAATAATTGAAAGCGACTAAAAAAAACTTGAAATCACATACATTTTCAAAATAAATAATTTTGTCAAACAGGAGTTTTTGGTCTCGAAACTACGCAATACAAAATAAGTTGACTAAGCTGATAAAATATAAATGAAAACGCTTAATCGAAAAAAATTTTTTTTTTAAATTATTCAAAATCAGACTTGGTAAAATGACAAATTACAGAACTTTTAATTATGGTTTACAAAGTGAGCTGGTAAAAAATAGTACCAGAAAATACAAATGCCATTAAAAAACTGAATATGAACCCGACGGAAACTAGGCCAAAAACTACTAATTCCAAAGAAAAATCAATATTTTTTCAATAAATTTATTTGAAAAAATAATTACTTCCCGTAGTTTAATTTGAATTTTCAAAAATTTGAGCATGCCTTGAAATTTGCCATAAATAAATTTGCCAAACTTATTTACCGGAGAAAACAACCTAGCACCTGATTGCAATAACCTTGATTATCGCAAGGGTAAATATTGATATCGTAAGCTCTATTCTCATGCTTAAAATAAATGTGTCATATTTCTTGTTCCCAAACGAAGCAGTCAGAAATTTAAAAACAATCTAACACTTTTTTAACGAAACCGAGTACACTTTCTCGAACCTATCACTGCTTTACTGTATTACCTCGTTAGACCCCATCTGACGTCTTATTGTGGGTCCTGACTTTGAAAAAATGCTAAAAAGACCATTCTGGAAGCTAAATTACCAAACGGAAACTTAATTTAAAGGCTCCATTCATTGCTTGGTTTGACATCAGAAGAAAATAAAAATCAATAGCAAACAATTTTAACATTTATTATTATTTAATAACATTCCAGCAGGTCAAAACCTGGGTGTTATAAAAAATGTCACTGTGATGGAAAAACATTTGTAATCTGATTTATTTTTTTACCACAAATAAAATTTACATTGAGGTCGTTTCAGCAACAAAAGAATCAAATTCAGACAAACTATTGTTTGTAGTTTTTATAAGTCTCATCGAGAGATTTCATTAAGATATCTTTTACCTCTTTTTCCAAAATCTGTGATCGCTGGAAAGTAGCTTTTGCAGCAGACAAATTGGCATCAAAACAACCTTTTCTCACCGCTTGTAGGCAGTCCTCAATTTTATCAGGAAACAGATATACACTTTCAACTGGCAAATTGAGTTTTCTTCTGAACTCTTTTACAGGTTTTCGTAATAACATGAGTTCGGCTGCCGAGAGAATTGCAGTAGCCATCCAGTAGGAGACCAAAGCAGGAGGCGCTTGAGTCGCAATAACTGCTTGTAGTGCGGGAATAATGAGGAAAATACCCGTGCTCCAGTTAATCTGTGCTGTTAGTGGCATGTTGCAAACTTTACTATTCTAAATTGTAATTTTTCTTTGAACAATGAAGTACTTCTTGTTCCGACCACTTCACAAAGGAAAGAGAAAGAACTATAGTCTAAGGATGTTTTTTTAACCAAATTTTGACTACCTCAAGTGTTTTTGTCTCAGTTTTTCCGACGTTTAAGAACAACACGCAATCAGAGACTGAACTCTACTACAAAATTAACATTGGTTTTGTTATCATTGCAGCTCATTCGTGCCTTTTTGCACCTAATTCAATCGCTTAGTCTAGAAAACTAATGGGTCTGGAAAACTAATCAGAAAAAATAAGAAAAAAAAAAGTTTTTTTTCGAAGTTCAATTTCATGAGGAGTCAAAAACATGCTGTGGTACTTAAACAGTATAAACACCTGTGGGCAATTGGCTAACCCATTTATTTGTTTCATATTTTAAATTCAGTTTCTTATTTGAAAAGTCAAATACCATATTCACTAATATCCTTAGGCAACATCAAATATGACAGAAGATTATTTTTGTATGTCGACAAGCTATAGAAATGGGGAATATGGGGCGACGCACCTTATGGAAAAAACTGAAACTGAGCAAAGATATACCACCCACAAATAACCAGAAGCTACAGTTTGCAAAAAAGATCTGCAAAGCAGTTGTGTTGAATTGAAAAAATTAAAAGGAAGATTTGCAAAAAGTATCTGCAGAAAAGTTGCAGAAAACCAGAACAAACTTAAATAAAAATAGCAGATTTGAATTGAAAGTTCGCATAATTTTGCCATTTCTCATTTAAAAATTCAAATTTTTATTATTTAATTACTTTACAATTGTAATATTTTATCACGTTTTATTTCAAGTTGGAGTGGTAAGGAAAGGCAATTATAAGTTGACTTAAAGTAAGTTTCTTTTATTGTAATATCAGAACGCTGCGTTAAATTTTCTGAACCGATAAACTTTTTGAAAATACATTCTTTTCTTCCGTTTTTATATTATCCTCTGAATTAAAAAATTGGCTGTAAAGTCCGTTGACGCGGAGACAACCTTGAGTGAGAAGCCGTGATACACAGTAATCAACTACCTTTGTTGTAGTCGTCTTTTGAATATGATATACTTCACAATAGACAAAGCTGAGCACTTCAACATTTGAGTTAAATCAATGAAAGTGATGAAAAAAAATCAGATGTAAGCCAGTTGACAAAAAAGTCAGTTGACGAGATTACTAGGATTCATAATTCGACAATTCTGTCAATAATGTTCCCAACGAAAAAAAAGTTTTTCATCCGGTGGCAATCACCCTTGCACTCTCAAAACTAACTATTTTAAGATTAAGTTCCTACAATGTTTGAGAAAATATAAAAGTTTGCCCAGTTCTGAACATCCAGTTTAATGTGTTCAATGCAAAAAAACGATCTGGCTGAAAAATCTTCTGAGATAGGATAGCTTGGTTTAATTTTTCTGAGTCGGATTTTTAAGTGGCTTCACCAGAAAATAGAAATCTTAAGAACAAACCGATATCTCTAAATTATGCCAAGCCAAAATCATCTAGTTTAACTTAATTGCAACATGCCACGTCTTAACGTCACTAGCCTTTCATTCCGGGAACAGGAGCCGCATTACAGAGATTCAATCTCCAATTTATAACATGTACAGCAAATAATAAAAGCGGGAGGCTGAGACACGGAGAGAATAAACTGTCTAGCCACAGGAAAGAGTTATCACTGATCATCGGAACATACGCACTTGGCTCTGATGTCCAAATCGAAAATCCACCACAGAGTTGGCGAACAGCCAAGCTACTATAATATCAAGTTTCCGGCTATTTTCAAATCTGATTGGCAATTAATGTGCTTTTATTTAAATTAAAACAAAAACATGAAGGCCACGTGAAATGAAACTGTTATGTAGGGGTCAAGCTCATAAATCGCGGACGGTTTGATTTGTATTCAGAAATAAGGTGCGACTAGGCGACACGATTTAGATGTTATCTTAATATCTTGCATTTATAAACCAACTTTCAAACATCTATCTTATAGTCTAATTGGATCTAATTGCTACCGCCTGAAAATTAATTTCCAGCTTTTTACAAGATTGTTGGAAATCGCTTTTGCCGTTTAAAAAATTTCAATGGCCAACCTCGATAAAGAAAGCTGTCATCGAATTGAAAAAACTTATCTCATAATAAGATTGGTCACTTTTGGTCAATTTCAAATCTATAGCAAGGTGCTCTTACGTTTGCGCTCAAAAAATTAAATTTCAAAGCCGAAATTGCCAAGTAGAAAAATTTGCGTGAATACTCTCTGGTGAGTTCAAAACTCTTCGTTCATACTTTAAAATAGTGGATTTTAATTTATATTTCTGCGTTGGTACCTAATATTTTTGGAAAACGGTCAGATAGTAGATGGAACTTTCAATTAGAATTCAAAACATGACTCACATAGGGACAAATAAACTCATATGCACAAGCATATTAGGCGCAAACTTCCGAAGGGTCGAAGCAAAGCTGTTTTTCTCCATCAGAAAATCAAATCCACCACTCGTTTGTTTTATATCAGTTCCAAACCTCCGCTGTTTAGCTTTTCGAATCACCAGATACGTTCGGACAGCGTTGGTTTCATTTAGATCAAGTTTCTTTCTGTGAAGTGATAATGTATTTTTGAAGAGGACTACACGAGTGCTACAACACAAGAGCTAAATAAAAACTCTCGTACAAAAACTTCTCTTCTGCAAACGCCTTAGACACTTTCGTATATTACTCATGCGAAGCTCTATAATTTTTTTCTCAAATTTGAATTTTGGGTAGTAGATTACTCCATCTGCTTTCAAGTTTCTTTAGCTAGAGCGCGTATATTGACAAACTACCCCTACTCAAAAACCACTGCAAAGGATATTGTCGTTTTGTTCCACAATCTTTCGCAACCCGGATTGTTGTTACTAGACGTCATTTAGATTCTCGAGTCGTGGACAAGTTAGATGTTTTCTTCTTAAACGACTTATAAGTATTGCATGAAGCACTCAAAGAATGCTGATATTCTCATGGATTACATCACGTTCAATGCTTATGCTGGACAACACAGCCATTACATGTCATAGCTACTAACCTGATGTTACTTTCCCAGTTCACCTTGTCTGCTTCCATTAGTTTTTAAATTGTACTTACCCTACAGCAATAGAAACCACTACTGCGCCCCATGATCCTCCGGTAGCCTCGTACACGTGATATATTCCAGAAGACAGACAAGATATAAGGCCAAAATCAGAAGATATGTTCCTTTTTTGCTGAACTGACGGTGAATAGGGTATACTTAAGGATATTAATCTTCGCTGTTTCGCAAAACGAAGTAGAAAAGACATAAGACATGCGAGACTGAAAAGCAATCTCGAGGTTTCACGCTTCCATTGTGCTATTGAGTCCTATCATTCAATACAGAGGAGAAGCGGAGCTTCGCATCACTTGCTATATAAAAATGTATGACTATGATTACCAGCAAATGAAAGACAAATCAAAAGTTGAAAAGAAAACCTTCAAAAAAAATCGCTTTTTGTCAAAAAAAAGATAAAAATTATTAAAATCAAAAAAAGACAAAATGGCTTCAACGTAAACCACGCCACTCTTTTGTGTCGGATTGATTAGCGAGGGAAAACGCCATAATCTATGGGACTTCCATTTTATTCAATATCGGCTGCAAGCGTTCTCTGGTGAGTCATAAATAAGGGGGAATTGTTAACTTCACTCCTTTTGGTAGCTCGTGTAGCCGTGGTAAGCTCCGTATGCGGAGAACACTTAAAACCCAAAACAAAACCATACTCCTCTGTGGATGTTGGGAATGTTTTTACGCACAAAACCATTATTCATCTTAAAACATTATAGAACAGAATTTAGCTAATAATTCACCTAGATTGGCTATATTATTCATGCAGTGCTAATTTTCACATTTTCTATTTCAAATTTACTATTTTCAACAGTCTAATATTTCGAAAAAAAATGAATTTAAGTCAACATTCAGCAATTTTTACACGCGAAGCTTGGCATCACTTGTGATACAAATGAAACAGCTAGTGGCTTTCAAGCAAAAAATTGACAGTAAGAACTGCGAGATTTTTCATGTTTTTGAAAGCGAGCTATCGAGCCATTCAATAACACACTAATTCTTCGTGAAAACAAATTTGGCAAAAGTCAGACCGAGGAGTCACTTGTGAAAAACGGGAAAAATCAACTTTCATGTAAAAAAAAATACAATCACATAGGACTAAGCTTTATTGCTTTCTTGTAACTAAGAGGAAAATGAAAAGACCAAAGAAAAGACTCCGAAAAAAAACATACTCCTGAAATAGTATTTCACAAAAAAACTAAGCACAATTTCAATTACTTCAATTACCTGCATCAATATAGAAGACATAGCCAACTGCCACCAGTTGCTGCAAGGAAACTGACACAAACTGACTTGTTTTTTTTCCAAAAACCTGCAACTTTTGAATTTCGAAGAAAAAAATAGATGGCCTTAAAATTCTGTTTTTTTTGAACAATTTATGATGATCACTTTTTAGTTTAAAATTACCCATTCGAGAAATCTGGATCAAAGGGCAAAACTTTTCTTTCGCTGGGAAATCTGATAACTAATTTCCATGTTCGAAATTGGAAGTCGATCACAGTTTTCGTGACCTTTACATTTTTGCTGTTCAAAAATCAAAACTGATCATGAACAAATTTCAAGACTTTTGCCTGAAAAAAAAACAAAAGAAAATCACCAAGACCTATATAAGAATACTCACTACGTTCATTACTCTTAAGAATAAAAACGGAATATAGTGAAAACTGCTTAAATCATCAGTAAAAATTATGGGGCCACTATGCCGACAAAAAATAAGAAAATTAAAAAAAGCTGGCAATTTTTCAAGCCAAAAAATCATGTGGAAAAAAGAACAGGTCCTGACAGGATTCGACTAAGCAGACAAAAAATAAGAAGATAAACAAGAAGCTGACAATTTTTTACGCCAAAAAATTCATTTTCCAAAAATAGGCCCTGACAGGAGTCGATATTTGTGGTGTCCTACCTTCGTGGTGACCTAAAGTGTTTAGTTTCATCGCTCAACACAGATCAACTATAAATTATGATGCTATGCTTAACAAAAAAAATCAAAATTTAAGTTTTATAATTACCTAAACTTCAGTGCTTCAGAAAAACTCAATAAGGAGGCTTTTACAGCAATTGAACAGAGGCGAAGCTGCAGCTTCGCAAACACAAAGATGAGAGCGGCAAAAGATCCAGGAGCTTCAAAATGCACAAAAGGAAAAACTTTGAATCTAATAATTTGGAATGATATAACAAACTAAAGGCAATCACATTAACTATGCATCATTCCCTAAATTGCTAAGTGTAAAGCCAAATTTTTTATATGCACTTGAAAAGTTTCGAGAAAAACAGAGTCGTATAACTTTTGAAAAGGAGTTTTACTATTGTACTGTTGTATGGAATAAATATCTTTTTTTTCTTCAATCAAATAAATTTTAAGAAATCAACCGTTTTAACATGACAAATCAAATCACAAAGCACATGGTACTGCAGCCTCCTGATTCACAAATGCCACCAAAAGTACAACTTTTGTTTCCGAATTATCACACTACGCTCCACATGTATAAAACCATAGCCAATAGAAAGTTTAAAAATCTCAAGGAAATCAAGGAAACCAAAAAAAATGTTGGAATTTCACAGTTGAAATACTTTCGAACCAAGAAATAATTTACGTTTTTTACTCTTACTTACACTTTGATAAGAGCTGTGTTTTCGTCACAGTGCAAAAATTATATCAGTTGGGTTTGGCCGAAAAACAAAATAGAGTAAAAAAATTAACACAAGGAGTAACACAAAAACAGGCGAGATTTACAATTGTATAGATTCCATCTCCAAAATTTTTACGAGCCACTTTCTGATTAACCTAACTAATTTGAGAAACCAGAAACTTAGTCAACTGAAAGTTGGAAAAGAGTAATGAACGCAAGGAAACTGCAACTTTTGAGTTTCGAAGAAAAAAATAGATGGCTTTAAATAGATGGCCTTTGTTATCAGATTTCCCAGTGAAATAAAAGATTTACTTATTGATCCATTTTTCTCAAATTGGGTTAATTTTGACAAAAAGTGTTCATCATAATTTGTAATACAAATTCAAAGAGAATTTGTATAACAAATTATGATGAACACTTTTTGTCAAATTTAACCCAATTTGTGAAAACTGGATCAATAGGTAAATCAATTATTTCACTGGGAAATCAGATAATTAATTTCCATTTTCGATATTAGAAGTCAATCACATTTTTCGTGACCTTTACATTTTGCTGTTCGATAGTGATCTTTGCCTTCCTTTTAACAATGCAAATACACTGAACTTTAAAAAAATCACAAATCATACCGCGAAAAATCAAAATTGAAAGTAAATAAACTTTAAGACTTTTTTTCTGAAAAACAAATCAGCAAGACCTATATAAGAGTACTCACTACGTTCATTACTATTAATCAGGGTTTTCTGCCGCTAGAAATCTAATTAATCAACCACTATTTTGGAAATTTCAAATAGGTTTGCTATTGGAGAGCTTAATTTGATGTCCCTTTCAGTGTCTTTGTTTTTAAACGCGATTTCCAGTAGCTCAAAATTATTCGTGGAAAATTGAATTAAAAACGTCTTTCAGTCTTAACTTGGTTTTCGGGCAAATTACAGCAGGCTTGAAGATGGAAAAACTAATAGCAACAATTTGATTTTACAAACAAAGCCCACAGACAGTTGGAAAAGAGTCAATGAACGCAAGCAAACAGAACAAAAAGTACTGACTGGTTTTTTTGAAAAAAATCTCAACTTTCGAATTTCTAAAAAAAAGATAGCTTATTAAATTTCTAGAAAAAATTTTCATTGACTTTTTTGATAAAATTAACCCATTTCAGAAAACTCGATCGATAGGTAATCTTTTTATTTTTCTGGGAAATCTGAAATTAATTCCTCTTCGCAACTAGAATTCGATCACGTTTTCCGTGACTTTTATTCTTTTGATGTTCGATAGTAAAATTTGCCTTGAATTAATCGAAAAAATCAAAACTCGAAAAGATAAACTTGAGCCTCAAAAAATTTTGACTTTTCCTTAGAAAAAATGAATTATATTTAGATATAACTTTTTTCAAATGCGCAAGACTCAATTGGCGCATATTTTACTGGATTACTTTAAAATGAAGTCAAATTTTCATTGAGCCAGAAATTTTATGACCACGACCACAAATAGGTATTCGATGTGGTTCAAGGTGTAGCTAAAACAAAGAGTTGTTTGTTTTTTCAATTTTTGTCCACGCTAAATAAAGGACCGAAAACTAACGACAGATGTATTTGAGTTAATCGTCGTATTCAAGCCTTTTCATTCGTGATTCCATTGCTATTAAAAAGTGTTGTAAAAATCCTATTCAAAACTTTTGGTTTTTTTGGTTTCTAGAGGAATCTAATGGAGAAGTAATTTGATTCATTGGAACTGCTAACATTACTAAATTAAACACGAGGGGAAGCTGCACTTCAAAAACACAAGCAAAAATTTGCAAATGCGAGTTTTCAAGTAGCAAAAAATGCAAAAGTAAAAAATTTAACCCCCATGTGATCAAACCGACGCCATCGCATATTTACAGCCTTAGAGTATACTGCCTTAGAATGGGTTAAAAATGGGATCAATGGGTTAATTTTATACTCCGCTGCGAAATCTTAAAATTAAATTCCACTTTCGAAACTAGAAATTTTTCGCTTTTTTAGCGCACTTTGTGCTTTCGTATTTGGAGAGCGCATTTTGCTTACCTTTAGAAAATAAATAAAAATAATCTCAAAAATTGTAAATATACATATGTGCATTCATTAAAAAAACACACAAAAAAACTCCAAAACCTACATAAGTCTTCACTACGTTCATCGACTCTTAAAAATGAAAAACTAAGTTTAGTCAAAACATTCTGTGCTAAATGCATCGCAACCGACTATTCTGATGCTTAATCGTGTCTGGGACACAAGAGCTACTTGCACAGCAAACGGTAAATTTTGTTCTAATGAGAAGCAGTCGAGTCAATGAGATTCAAAGTTTTGCTACTTTCAGCTTCTGCTATGATGATTTTCACGAAGCGCCCTCCATGACACTTCTTCGGTAAGACTATACAGCTTATACAAATACAAAAAAAAATTAAGTACAAAAATGAATTCAAATCATAACACACCCATTCAAAATAGGAAGACGAAACGTTTTCGAATGGCAAAGTCAGAGAAATTCATCAATCAGAAAACACATTACCACAATTGAATAGTTCACTAACTGCTGATTGGTCATACCAAGTATAAATAATAACCAATCAGGGCTGTTGTAATTTTATTACCTTAAAAGGAGACTAATCTAAATGGGGAGACTGCGACAAGAATATTGTGGAAAACTCCACGTTTGGTTTTGACATATTCAATCCACGATTATATTTTAAGTCACTCAAACTAAAGATAAATTAAATTAACTACACGATAAAAACTCTGCATAGAAATAGATAGAAGTCAAGTAGCCAAATGATATTATGGTAATCAAGAAAAAATCAGCCAAATATTTTAATTTAGCAGCATGAATGGCGGAACAGTCAGAAGAATAGAATTGCCGAGAGCAAATGACATAAGCCACAGGTATGACGTAGGTAGGGATAGCCTTTAAAGTTCAACTTTATTTGTTTTGCTGATGAAGCAAATTTTCAGCACGAGTTGATACTGGGTTATTTCAATGTTCAATAACGAAACAGCTGAAAATTGTAGGTTAGTCTATTAACCATCTGAGTTCAGTTCTATTTCTGAGGAACTCGTTA